ACGAATGCGAGTGCAATAATAGAGAGATATCGATTATCGTTTGTCAATCTCCATATTTGTGCAACTCGAAAATGTAATTCCAAGAGACATCTCGCGAAGCATTTCACACTTTTAAGACACGTATTAAGTATCTAATCCTAGACATTCTTTTGGTTTTTGAACACAAATTTAAACTTTCAACATAAAATATTTTACATATGTATATATATTCTCCATGTTGTGACAAAATTTAGATATTCACGTTTAAAAATTAAAACAATAAGAATGTTAGGTATATATACAGGCACTGGTATTTTTAATAGTTATTATTCGTTTCAAGTGAAATACTCAGATTTGAATTTAGAGTTAGAAGAAAGATTTTCAAATTTAATCGTGATTGCAGATACAAGTGTCATATCATAATTCAATTGGAAAAACTTGAATCTAACTCTCAGTAAAAATCTAAGTTGTGACAACTCAATGAGACAAGTTGTAGGTGGCAAATATTTAATACGGATCTAAACACGTTCAATTAAAATTCGAGAAAAGTCCTACGAGATTGATAAACATTCGTGAGCGCTATGAAAAATTTCTCTGCAGGCATTATTATCTAGATTATTATATTAGGCATTATTATCCGTTACAATGCGAAGAGTTCAAACTGCATTTAACTTTACGCGCGTTTAAACGTGGACACTTAATAGCAGCGAAAATAACGAGAACCTATTTCCCCATCGCCGTCTATACAGATGAATAAATTTCTATAGCAGGAACAGATCGACCTAGCGGAACGGGGATCTTTCATGTCGCGCCGTTTCACTCTCTCGATATATTCCGTGCAATTAGCTAGATGAGAGGCAACATTACGCCTTTGCGGCACGTAATGCGACCGTTTAGAGCCCTTCGAGTTAAAGGGTGCCGCGGTGTACGCTGAGTTCGAGATCGTCGCTTTGATTCTTGTTGGCGTCGCGAAGCATCGGTCTCGCGTTTCAAATGAGCGCGAATATAATTGCCAGCGAAAGAGAGACACGCGATTTAGCCCGCGAATTAGAGGCGAGACTCGATTTAATTCAATTTAATGGAACACACGCGCGCGCCCCTAAATGTGTCATTTGTTTCTCATATTATAAAGGCCAACGCGCGCGTGTGCATCGATAAAACGCGACGTCGGCACGCGTGTCACCGCGTCTAGTCAAACATCAATTACGTGCGCAAACAGAGACTACCCGGGGGATGGTGCTCGACCGGCAAACATTAAATACATGCATCACCCTATCGGACACGCTGACACGATGACCGACACTTCCGTTGTCGATTCTTTCGGTGTTAGTGCAGATTACCCGGTGCGGCAGAAGTCGGAGAAATAATCGTAGGGTGGTTTTAGAGCTCCGCGTGCCGTTTGTAACGACGATTGTGCGCTGTCGTCGGTGTTAAAAATCCGGGCCACGCCGGGCCGACTTTAACTCAACGTTCCATTACTCAGGAGTTACGATACAGCTAAAATACGACGTCAAAATATATCACCGCGGGATGCCGTGGGTTTCAACGAAACGGACGATTTTAATTTCCAGCGGGGACCTTTGTGCCGCGAAAATTTGTGCTTCGTGCTCGCATCGAAATTCTGTCGCGGGCGTGCGTGCACCGACGAGAACTCTCGGGGATGAGGGCTGAAATTTCACGGAGAAACCAGGCTCCTTTGTCGGCATGTCTGAATCTCGCGAGAATTATAGCCGGGTTAGATATAGGTGCGCGGCACGAAATGGCCCGACTTAAAATCTAAGTAGCCGTGCATCCCCCGGAGCGAAGCGGGCCGCAAGATAGGGGTAGATAGAGTCAGTCTAGGAGCCATAGAGGGTTGCCCAGGGTGGTCGAGAGGCAGGGAGGAGGACCGCGGAACGGCGACGGGTGATGGGAGGAGGGAGGTGAGGTGGGATGCTGGGATGCCGAGGGGAGCATCCGGGATCTCGGAGGGTAGCGGGTACGTGGGGCGGTCGGTCGTCATGGATACGCTCCCGGCTAACCCTGTAACCGCTCCTCCCTCGTCATTCTACATTTTCGCAACTACCCGCCGCCATCATCGACCCACCATCTTGCCTCGAGCCCTACGAGTCTCGTCAAAATTTTGAGACAATCTCCCGAGACGCGCGATTGTTACCGATACAATTGAACATACCTTCTTCGAAAATGTGACGACCATTGCAACGAAAAGATCGCTAAAACGCACGATTTGCACGTCACCATATGCGCTCGATAATGGCCGCATTGCTCGAGAAGCAGCGGGAAGGACGAGAAGATTTAGGAAGTTGCGGAGATAACGTGATCGAGATCCGGTCGGTGGCATTGGTATAACGCTGACCTTGCTGCCGGCGCGAGATGAATTAACCAGCAGCTGCGGAAGGCGTGTAACAAGGCGAGAGCGAAAAACCGCCAAGCTGGCGCGACCAACATCCGCAGTCAGGATCCAGGAACGCGCGCGATCCAGGCTGCGGCAGATCGATCGATCGTCTGCATGTAGGTATGTAGATATGTAGATAGGTAAATGAGGAGGACCGCGCTGTGCCGTTAAACGCGCCAGGCGAGCGAGAGAGCGAGAGAGAGAAAGAGAAAGCGAGAGAGAGAGAGAGAGAGAGAGAGAGAGAGAGAGAGAGAGAAAAGTTTCGAGTCGCCGATAAATTTCGGGGACTGCGAGCAGGATATTGCTGCGGCCGTGGAGAGCAGTCGACGAGCGTTTTGCTCGGCTGGCAACGGTGCAACACCCTCGCGCGCAATACTACTACCCCCGACCGTATTCGAACATCCCCCGACCTGCACCCTCTCGTCCTTCTCCTCCTGCACCTCCTCTACCTCTTCCTCCTCCTCCTCCTCTTACTCCTCCTCATCCTCCGTCGTCCTCCCCTTCCGCTCCGCCGCTTCCTCGCGGCCCTCGCGGGCGTGGGCGGTAGATAACGTGATTTACACTGGCCGGGTAATTAATGTCCTCGGCGACCGGCGCTTTAAAAAAGCAATCGGAAATCGGCGACAACGAAGAGCAACAGTCAGCCCGCCGCCGGCCGCCGGCTGCTGCTGCTGCCGCTGCCGCTGCTACTGCGAGATGACAAATTATCGCGCGGGTTCGCGCGAGACCGTTGCCCTGCTTCTCTTTTTTTCGCATTTCTCTCGGGACGTTCAAGAGATCACGATGAGATGCACGTTCTCGCGTGGTTTCCTCGTGATTTGAGCAACCCGTCGTCGCGTCCCTCCGTTCTCATCTGCGTTTTCAAACGCACGACATCGATAACACGTTGCGCACTGAGAGTAAGTTTTACTAATTTAACAAAATACTAGTGTTTAACCGCAACAAACAATTTACTGATGTGGGACCAGCAAACGGGACGCCCGCAGTAGGAACAAATGATTGGTCACGTTCAATTTGCTGCTCTAAGTAACATTTCTGTAATGGAGACAGATGTTGCTCAATTGATCCGACAAATCGTGAGTTTGATTTGCTAGCAATAAAGAATACTGTAACCTTTGACATGAACTTCGACTGCTGCTCGAAGAGACGGGAGTGTATGAAATTTTTACGGCACGATACGACGCAGACACGCGACGCGTTAAACGCACGTTGTTAACTGCACGCACTCGCGACTCTCTCGCCAAAATCTTAATGTCGCGCGCGCCGCCGCACGTTATCATTGTGGGAAAATAGCGAGGGCAAACGCGGCCCTTGCTCTCATTAACCGCATTACGTCATCGCGACGCATATTAGAAGCGATCGATGGTATCTGTGCGGCACTTACGCCGGCATAAACTCGCACGTAATCAGGTTGCGTGTCTTTCGCACGCGGCCCGTGCGTGACCTTACGCTCGGCGTTACGGCAACTATTTCACAGCGTCGCGGCTATGAATTACACTCTCATGCGTATCTCACACCTGCCCATTCGCTGTTTTTGACCCCGACAAAATATCGAATCTCGTGTGCCGTAATATTTCCGTCACTCGGAGGACTTTCGTACAAGAGCAGCTCGAGGATCTCAGAAAACGAAACTGTAGTAATGTTTTTGCGAGGAAGACACATCCGCTATATGCCAATGCATGTTAGACAGTTTTGTTTTTAAATCCAAGAGTATTGTTGAAAAACTAACCGTTATATATACAATAAAATTGAACGAATCGGGCAGCTTTCATCATGCACATTAAATAATTCGAGAGTAACTTATATTGCAATTCTTTCGCACGGGTTTAGGGACAAAATCGTAAAACTCGTAACTTGTTCTCGTAAGACTCGTAAGAACTTATGAGTAGATCTGCAATTATGCGGATCGTATGTCATATGATAACTCATAAATATCTACGATTTTTTCTTTGTTTTTTTCGTAAGCTACGACTTTACGATTTTACGATTTATCCATATATTTGCTTAAAATTGCAGCATTAATTAAAAGAAAATTAGAAATATGAGTAAGTTAGACATATGATGTTATAAATTAGGCTGATACAAATGTAATAACGGAGTTTAAATACTATTGTTATCAATATCTCGGTCAGTATCCTGAATGACATCCAAGTGTCCGGAATTAAAAGAACTTTCCAATGCAATTCCTCTTTACATGATTATGAAGCGAATATTTTACGACATATTTTATATTTTACCTTATCATATATTAATACAAAAATTTTATAGTTCATAAAATATTTACTTTTTGCTGATCTTATCTTCATATAGTTATTTTATGAATGGAATGACTCAAAAAATAAAGAATAAATGAGAACAAATAATAACAGGAATAAGTAACTGAATACTCAAATATCAGTAAGTAATTCCAAAAGTACCCCTGTAATATTTAAGACACAAGTTCTCAGGTAATAGCCATGATATTAATGTATCTGGAATTGACACCGCTAAGTGAGATTGAGAGAAAACCCGATCTTCGTTTTTCTTACTAAACCCATCCCTAAACTCGTGCGAAAGTCGTTCGGGTTTAAAACGTCGACGAAAATCTCTCATAGGGATAAGAAAAGAAGAGGAAAACTTCGCTTACCGGTGATGGAGGCTGTGGGCGAAATGGCGGATGGATTGGCGCGTGGGGGCGGCGAGAAGGCACCCGCCAGATAACCACCGCGATCGGCGAGGGCCTGCTTCGCCTTGTCGACGCTCTCCTTGAGTCGTTGAAACGTGCTACCGCAGGTGAGACCGCGGTACGGCCAATTCTCCTGCTTGACGCCGGCCGCGGTTACACCGGCGGCCGCGGCCGCGGCTCCGGCGGCCCCGGAGGCTCCCTTTAATTCGAGCGCACCTGCGTACGAACAGCTAGCGCTGTCGTACATCACCAAAGAGCCCCTGCAATATAAAAATTACTCTGCTGTATCAGAACGCATGAAGTCCGTTCAAATCGAACACACGGATAAAACAATTCTGTTGATGCAACCGAATTTTCGGTTGCACAGGGATCAGACGAAACCTCGACTGTAGGAACAGAAAAATTCCTTTATGAGGCTTTTGTATATTGTTCTGTATATGTCAATTGTTCTTAGTCGCCTCAACCGAGTTTTAATACCGTTGAATGTTCAGACGAATATTTTCGGTTACGTCAAGAGAAATATAATGCTGCAATTCTAAGCAGAATCGTAAGTCTCGTAACTTGTTCTTGTAAAATTCGTCAGAACTTATGAGTAGATTTACAAGTCTATACAATATCATATGTTATTCATACAATTACTCGTAAATATCTATGATTTCATGTAATTTACGATATTTATAAGTGCACGGAAAAAACAATTCTGTTGGTGCAACCGAATTTTCGGTTGCTGAGGGATCAGGCGAAAACTCGGCGGTAGGAACAGAAAAATTCCTTTATGAGGCTTCTGTATAAAAAGGCTTCAATTGTTCTCAGTTGCCTTAACCGAGTTCTAATATCGTTGAATGTTCAGACGAATATTTTCGGTTGCGACAACAGAAATATTAGTTTTCATGACAGAGATATCGTTTCTGATCACCTAATTTTCAGTTGGTTCCTATTTGGTTGCACCAACTGAAATTTTTTTTGCATATGATTATACGATATATGATATTGCATAGACTTGTAAATCTACTCATAAGTTCTGACGAATTTTACGAGAACAAGTTACGAGACTTACGATTCTGCTTAGAATTGCAGCATTAGTTTTCATAACAGAGGTATCGCACCTAATTTTCAATTGGTTCCTATTTGGTTGCACCAATTGAAATTTTTTTTGCGTGCACCTCGCGCAAAAACATCGACAACACGCGACGGTGAAGTTCACGTCCGAATCATTCATAACATTACACGGAAAAGAGTTTTCAGTTCGGGTAACCAAATAGAGACCAGACGAAAAACTCGCTGATGAGAAATAATATCTCTGTTATTGTGTGGAAATTGCAAACTCGGTTGAGATAGCTGAAAGCAATCGGCTGAGCAGAAACCTCTCCTGCCGGAACCTTTTTGTTTCTACAACCGAGTTTTTCATCTGGTCCTCACAGGTGACAGAAAATTCAGTTACACTAACGAAGTTGTTTTCTCCGTACGCGAGAAAAGAATTTCAGTTCAGGGTAACTGAACAGAGGGTCGAGAAACTCGCTGACGAGAAATAATATAATATCTTTACTACTGTGACCGCAAACATTCGTCTGAACATTCAGCTGCATTAAAACTCGGCTGAAAGCAATTGGCTGAGGAGAAACCTCCCGCAGGAATCTTTCTGCACACCCGAGTTTTTCATCCGGTCCCGGTAACAGAAGATTCAATTGCACTGAGGAAGCTGCTTTTTCGCGATACTTTGACGACGAGCGGACACGAGAGAAGTTGGATGGTTTTGACGAGGATGTCACTGAATTATCAGTTATCCATCACGGCATACACACACACACACACACACGCATGATTACGAAGAGCGACCGATCGTGCCCGCGTAATCTGGAGAGCACATCGACGCCGGGGCGCCCGTCATCTACATACATCATCGACGCGGCCTCGAACTTACGATCGCGAAAATTGCGAAAGCGATCCGACGATGGAATTTGCATGAGGCACCCGGCGATCGTATCTCGCCGGCAATTCCGAACGAGAGCGCGGAGATAAGAGACCGGCTACAATATTGAAGCTTGTCGTTTATCGCGAGTCCGCTTCCGTCTAATCTTCAAAATCTCCCACTTCCGCTATCCCTTCCCGTATTACATAAATCATTATTCAAACGGAATGACGCCGGACAATGTAGCCCGCGCGTTGTCGATTCACGTGTAACTCGCGTACAACACGTGCGCGACTCTCGTCGTGCTATTTTCAACGCGAGCTGCGCTCACGCGACTTGACATCGTTACGTGTGACGTGTATTTTTGCCGTTTTTAAGATAAAAGTATCAATAGCCGAACGCCTAAGCCTGGACATTTCTATTGCTTTGGTTTTTAAATAGCAGAAACTTTGAGACTCAGCTGCACCGGTCGATCGGCGAGCTAACTGACGGTTAAATCATACATTTGTTTTCGCTTTTCCTTCAAAACAGCCAGCGAAACACCTGTTATGTTTTCAGTGAAATTCAGTATGTTCCTTAGCGAGATTGACCTTCCTGCCAATTGATTCTGCCACTTTTGGACTAGACTACTAAAAACATAATAAAATTGAAAAGGAAATCTATACGACAAGAAAAACTATAATATTCTCTCTTTTCGTGTACATGTATATATTTTTTGGTTTCGTGTTGACAGTTTAAATATTTGTATTTAAAGACCAAAACAATAAGAATGTCCAGACTCAGGGGCTGATTTTTTCAATCTCATGGTAAGCTAGCAGTTAAGGACAGTTAAATCATACGTCTGTCGGTCTAATTTGGAGAAAAACAAAGACAGATATAACTGGAGAAAAAACAAAGGCAGATGTAACAGTTCGTACCAAGTAGTTAGCGTGCACTAAGAGGTGGAAAGGTCGGCCTCAGATGTCCGGGCGCATTGGTATTTTTACCTGTCTGCGCGATCGCGCACGCAACGTTCGACATAACCTACTCACATCGGCGCTCGTCGGTATTACGCCCTATTACTTTCTCCGTGCGAGCGCTCGACTCTGTCCATTTCTTTAGATCCGGAATGTTTGTGGCGCCTACCTGGGGACGAGTAGCCAGTAACGAGCAATTGTGTTCCCTCATTCTCGTCGAGAGCACCGGAATCCGTGATTTTTCCCGAAAGCGTAGGTAACCGTGGGCGCGTGCAGATTGCATATTATAAATATATAGGGCCGCGCTTCGACAGATGGCGCTAGCTACACGGATTTTTCTATTCTATCGTTCTAATCTCCCTTTGGAGCTCTCTCATTTGTGCATTTACCTTCAGCCACGATGGCGATTTATCACGGAGAGATATCGGCGAGCGGATCCCACTCGCGCGATGAAAGTGTCGGGGCGCGTCAGCGGGGATCCTCCGCGGGAACAGCGCGCGGTAAGTGAAAACGCGAGATTCTCTCTCTCTCTCTTTCTCTCGTCGAGTCGCGCGAGTTATCCCTGCGTTATTCGTCGACTATTGCGAGCCACGCGCGCTGACATTCGATCGGGATGGTTAAGGATAAAGCACTCGTGGGTACATCCGGATGTCCAGCGAGTATTGAGGTCAATCTAATCACAAAACTGTCACACACTGCCGCGCGGTGTTCCGCGAATGGCGAGCGGCGCGACGAGGCCGGATTGTGTGTCTTTGCGCGCTCTCGCGTCCGACAGTTTAAAAGCCAAATCGAACGATCGATCGTCGCGGTCCGCCCTGGATTCGGCCGGTCGCCATTTTTACGCTACTCCACAGACTCGATCCGCCACGCACACGCACGTATGCATACGCACAGAGAGTGGCACGTGAAAAACGTACCTTACGCCAATCGCGCGGCTCCCATTGTCGCGCATAATCCGCTTATTCGCAACGCTGAACGAGGCGAAACGTTACGTCAACCGACCACGCGTTCATCGCGCGAGATAATCGTCGGCCCACCGATCGACCAGCGTCGAGAGATCGTTTCGTTTCTGTCACTCCTTTTTTGAATACACTCGCGCGCGCGCGCGCGCGCTCACAGCAGCAACCTCGAATTTGTCTTCCTTGTGTTCCCGCGTATTCGTATCACCATGCCACCACTTTTCCGCGAATCATTAATAGAATCGATCGAGTGCCGCTTATCGGGGCCCGGGCGTATCCGATGATAGGTATCCGGGGAAGAGGCTGGACCGCGATATCAAGAAGAAGGTACTCCGGGCAGGTTGTCTCGCGCAACTGCGGCCGCCGCGGGCAGCAAATTGCCTGCTTCCGGGCCTCATTACATCACTCTGTTACTCTGTTAACGCTCGCCGGAAACCCCTCTGCCTACCTCGTCTAAACTCTCGTCGCATATATATCTACACACACCATTTAAACGCACCGTCGCGGACGACATAGGCGCGCGCGCGATTGCACGCGAGAGGGAGAAAAAGCCGTCGCGGACCCGGGAAAACGACGCTGTGCGACAGCTCGGTCTCGACGTCGCGATCTTTATTCCCCGTCGGCAACGAATTTTCCTTAAGAAATCGAAACCGGTCTCGCCTTCTGACAAGGTGGAAGTACCGAGTGTACTTGCGAAAAACGTATAAAAAATACACGGAAAGAACAAACCCGTTGGTACAACTGCATTTTCAGTTCCCTGCCGAGAATAGAGACCAGATGAAAAACTCGGCTGTAGAAACAGAAAGATTCTTGTAGAAATTTCCAAAGTAAAAATACCAACACTTACACGGAGAGAATATTATATTTTTTTTCATACAAATTTTCTTCAATTTTACTAATTATTTTACTAATTATTTTTAATCTAAGAATAAATAGACTACTACTACGGTCTATCTTGCTAAAAAACATGGTAAATTACGTTAGAAATATAACAGATTACGCTAGAGCGACATAGCGAGTATTTTAATAGTACATGTTTCAGTTTCTAAAATATATATAGAAAATATGAAATAAAAGAATAAAGAAAATTGTCGATCTATTCCTCGATTACAGAATCCTTTATTAACATTTGCTATAAAATTCTCTGTACAAGCTTGTATTCAATGCTGAACATTTTTATTGTTTTGGTCTTTAAATACGAATATCTAAACTTTCAACATGGATTATATGTATATATCCTATACATATACATATATTCTCTCTATGTTACATGTTTAAATATTCGAATTTAAAGACCAAAAGGACAAGAATTAGTTAAGAATCCAGCCATTGATACTAGTACCCTGCTTAATCAATTGTTTTCGGTTTGTTTTTCTTCAAAAATAACTTCCTAAACTGATGCATATTGGTACAATAAATTAAGGCGAAGCAAAACATACTTGTTTCACCCTAACTTATAGCACTGAGTGTACACGAGTTCAGGAAGTTCTTCGAGAAAGTAGAACCAGACCTGTAATAACCAAGTTTTAACGCAGCTGAACATTCGGACTAATCTTTTCGATCGCGGTAACTAAGATATCATTTGATTTCTATCTGGTCCCTGTTCAGTTTGCACGAATTGACATTCTCTTCTTCCCGCGTAAGAGACAAATAGTTCTCTTACGACACCGCCCATAAAAGAAAATTGAAATTCATCGAGCGAGATAAAAAACAATTTCGCAACGTACGATTTTCCCGATGGAAACGCGCAGATCGCGAACAACGAGCGAGCAGTGCGTATGATCATGTTTCTCTTCGGCAAATTAACGTAAAATTTGCATTTCCCTGTAAAAAGAGAGAGAGAGAGAGAAAAAGAGAGAAAAACGCAACGGTGACCACGATGCGTAACACGCTGAAGCGAGGGGACGACGTAGAGCGGCGAACACGCGCGGTAATTTCGCGTCGGTCAATGCGTGCGCCCGCCGTTTAGCTCGTAAAACGTGCGTGGCGACAGACGCGGAGACGCGTGTATACGTCATGCGTAAGACTCCGTGAACGAGTAGCAGGGTTGTATCACCTCCGAAGCGCTTCGTGATGTCGCAGCGTTTCCGCTCACGTGAGATGAATTTCCGCCCGTAAGATGTGGTCTCCCGACTGTTTATATATGTGTATATACATTTCTTTTTACATATATCTATCACATATTTATTTACGTGGACACTCGTCATTTATTTATCTCTTTTTTCGCGTTACGATGATAACTCGTGGTCATGATCAATGTTGACAAACGCACGGCTACTTCGGGAGACAAACGAACTAGTATCTGGGCGATTCCGGCCACTTGGCGAGAAAACGCGCCGGGAAAATCGCGGCGGATCGCCATAAATCCGCGTGCACACAGGGCGCAATAGCACAATCGCGGTCGCTTTCGGTGTTATCGATATTGTTCCATCGGCGAGAGACCGCGACGCGGAGCCGGCGCGACGGAAGCGCGCGGCCGACAATCTTCGGTTTCCTCTCTCTCTCTCTCTTCCTCTCTCTCTCTTTTTATCTCACTCTCTCTCTCTCTCTCTCTCTCTCTCTCTTTCTGTCCCTCACCGTGCCTTCGTCGGACCTCCCTTCGTCGTACAAAACAATTCGTGCCGTATGAGTGTGGAACGCGAAGCGCCCTATCGCGAGACCACTTACCGTCAGTGCGGGGGTCTACGTGGTGTCTTGTTCAGCACTATCCGATCCAGCTCGATCCCCAGAGATATTACCCCCGCGATTGTGTCGATCTCGCCGGCCGGCTGAAACCGCCGCCGGTGTACAGGTGTGAACCGCTCCCCTGGCACTTGGTGTGCTCCTTGAGCACGCTGAATTTTCCCGGGGCCTCCCGACGCCGCGGTGGCCGTCGACAACCCGACGACGACAACGACGACAACGACGACAACGACGACGACGACGACGACGACGACGACGACGCCGCCGCCTTCCACGTTCACTCCGTGTCTCCGCTCACTGCGCGTCCTTATTATCGCATTCGACTCGTATAGGTACTTTCTCGAGGGGAATCGACTCGATCTCGCGGACGCGAATCGGCACTGAGAATCACGAGCAGGTGAACGCGGTGGTACACGAGTCCCCGTTGCACCCGCGGGCGTTGCAACCACGGGGGATTACTACGAGGTGCTGCGGACTTGGCTCGCTCGCTCTCGCGAGGATATCCCGAGAGTTTGTCAGCGCGCGTGGACCACCGTGGCGAACTCGGTCGCGGTGCGACGGACGCACATTTGGCAGCGTCGTTATCAGTCGCGGTCCGACGATTGGCTGTATCGGAGCCTGCGCCGGTACGTTCTCCGCGGGGGGAAAAGCGAGCACGCGCCCGAGACAGAGAGAGAAAGAGAAACGGTGAGACAGAGAGGAGAGGGTGGCGATGAGGGTGGAGAACCGAGAGAGGGAGAAGAGGACGCGGGGGGTTTCCCGCTCACCCCCGGACAAGCTCTCCGACGCAAAGCGGCTCCTTAGAGGCGGGATCATCCACCAGACTCTGCTCTCTCTCTCCCCCTTCCTTCCCCTTCTCACTTTCTCTCTCTCTCTCTCTCTCTCTCTCTCTCTCTCTCTCTCTCTCTCTC